CGGTGTGTGATAGTCTGTAAAATGGATATTAAAGCTTCTGGCCATCCCTTAATCCCGCTCAAGGAACACAGAGCAAGTTCTCCCCTCAGGCCCAGCCCTGTCGGCTGGCAGTGCCGGCTCCTCCCGGGCACTCCCATCCGCCTCCTCCTCCTGGCGCAGCCCGAGCAGAGACTCCGCGTCCCCGAGTGCCCGTGCGGGATGCGAGTCCCGGGCTCGAGCACGTCCCTCTGCTCGCGCTCAGTGCAGGGGGCTCCGTGCCGGCTGCTGCCGAGCCCCGCCCGCCCGGGCTCCGCTTCCTCTCCCAAAGTTCACGCTGTCCCTGAGAGAGGCAGGGCAGCTGCCATGGCACGGGAGCGCGGCCATCCTTGGGGAGCTGCAGCTGGGAGCTCCCGCAGCCTGAGCTCAGGACCCGGGCAGGAGCGCCCGGATCGTCACCCGCTGCTACCGCTCCGGCCTGGGCACCGGGCACTCCTCCGGTTCCCCCGGGCCGAGCGGATCCGGGGGTGTTCCTGCGCCGCGGGAGCGCCGGGAGCCACGAGCGGCATCGCTCCGTGGGCCGGAGGCGGCACAACAAACCCGGGGTGGGGATAACGGGATATCACACTGCTGGGATAACACGGTATTGCAGATAGGCTGCATTCTATGGCATCCTTTCAGGAGAGCCTTCCTACCTTCTTATCCCATGTGGTTTTTTGCTAGTCTGAAGCAGTTCTCACAACAGAATCAAATGTGAGAGGTCCATTCCCTGTCACCATCTGTGAGGATGTCCGCAGTCAATTCCACGACTCTGTGAACTGAGACTAATAAATTGGGCATTTTTCTGGTCTCAGAATCGGAGTCTTAAGTCCTGTGGGTTGTTTTTCTTTTGTGGTTGTGAAGGTGAGGAGGGCTTAGGGACAAAGTCTCCGCTGCTGGCACTTGGGCCCAGCCTCATCTGGCCAGGCCCAGGGCTGTGAAGCAGGGACTCGAGCCCTGTGTTTGGGGAGTGCAGAACGAGGCTCGCCCAGGCCTTGAGCACAGAGGCCAAGTGCTGCATTTTGGGCCCCGGGGACAGAGCCCAAATCCTGTGTGCGAGTGCTCGGAACGCGGAGCCCCGGCCCGGCGCTGTCCGGGCCCGGCCCCGGCCTCACGGGAGCGGCTTCGGGGCTGAGAGCAGCGCTCAGGCGCTCCCTCGTGGGGCTCCGCAGCGGAGCCCGAGCTCCGGCCGAGGCTGTTCCCAGAGCCGGGACACTCGCGGGGCCCCTCCCCGGTGCCGATGGGCGGCGGGTGACGAGCCGGGAGCGCGGCGTTGCGGGGCCCGTGGGGCCGGCGTTCGGGGGCTCGGGCCCAGCCCCCGCCGCGGTCTCGCGTGCCGGAGGCCCCGGGGCCGTTCCCGGGCGGGCGGGGAGCAGGAGGCGGGACGGGAGCCGCGGTGTCCCCGGGCCTGGGCGGGTCCTGGCCGATGCTCGGGGACCCCAGTGCGGGCACGGCGACCCTGGGCCCGACGGAGCGGGCCGGGAACGCGGGGCCGGCGGTTCCCGCTCCCTGCCCGCCTCTCTCGCCCGCGGCGCCGGGACACGGAGGGTGACAGCGGGACGGGGCTCTGCGGGCTCAGGAGAGCCAGGCTCCTCCCGCCCCATACCGATCCCCGTCCCGATGCCGACGAGGGAGAGGTGGCACCGCCCGGGACCCCCGACAGACCCAGGCAGCGCTCGGCCCCCGCACCCCGGGCCACGGTCACGGCCCCGCCGCAGCGCCCCGGGCTCCGAGCGGTCCCCGGCGGGAGCAGCCGTCGGGCGGGGCTCGCACGGCGCCGAGCGAGGCTCCCGAGCGAAGGCCCCGGGACCGACGGGGGCAGGGGGGCGGGGCCGGTACAGGTGCGAGGGGCGGGGCCACGGAGCGCGGGCAGGGGGCGCTGCGGCGGGGCCACCGCCACCCTGGCCGGGGTGGAGGGCAGAGCGCCGCTGGGGTGTGCCGGGCGGTGCCGCCTCTCCCCCGTCGGGCGGATCGAAGTGGCACCGGGCCGGGGATCGGTTTCGGGCCCGGGACGGCCGCGGGCACTGCCGGGTGCGGGATCGCGGCCGTTCCCCGGTGCGGGCGCGGAGCCGCCGTGTGGGGCCGGGACCTCGCAGGGCGCCCTCTGGCGGACACGGAGCGCGGTGCGAGCGCGGCGCCCCGGCGTGGTGAGGGGGGCGGGGCCTGAAAGAACAGGGGGCGGTGCCAGGGGCGCGGCCAGAGCTCAGGCGTGCAGAGCTCAGGTGTGCGGGGCCCCGGGGCGGCTGCGCGGGCTGGGGCCGAGTTGTTTTAGACCTCGGAAATCGCCTCGATCGCCAATTGCTCACTCAGAGCACGGTGCGGACAGGAGCTCCCTGTGCGGGCTCCACAGGTGAGGCACAGAGGTTTTGGCCTCCCCTTCTGTCCCTCTCTCTACTCGTCCTTCCTTCTCTGCGTATTCCCTTTCTTCCTCGCCCTGAAACGCTCCTTTCCTCTCCTCCCAAACCCGATCCCCCTCACTCCTTCCTGTCCTGTCCCTTCTCCGCTTCTCCCTTCTATTCCTCCTCTCTCCACCGTCCCTCTTCTCCCCTTCGGCCTTTCCCTTCCTCTCCCGCTTCCCTCCTCACTCCCACCCCTCTCCCTCCCCGTCCTCACCACCCCCATCTCTCCTGTCTCCCCGTCCTCCCCTCTCCTCCTTCCCTCGCAGCCGCGGGGCTCGGGGTGCCGGGCATTAATAAAGCCCTGAGGGCCGGAGCCCGGCGCCCCCGCCCTCGCTGGGATCCCCACACGGGGCCGGAGCCGCTCTGCGGGTCCCCCCATTGCAGTGCAACACAGGCCCCGCACCGCGTGGGCTCCGGCTGTCCCAGCATCACACTGGGATGCTCCCGAGCCCCGCGGCTGCGAGGGAAGAAGGACAGCGGGGAATGGAGAACGAGAATGGGGGAGCGGAGGAGGAGGCGTGGAAAGGTGGGGAGAGGTCGGGGTGTGCAGGGCAGTAGGGGACGGGGCTGGGGGGAAGGCAGGGTGGAGGAAGGAGCAGGACTGAGGGCGGGTGGGGAGCGACTGGCGGGGGGGGGGGGGGGGGGGGGTGGGGGGAAGAGGAGTCGGGAGAGGGGGCAAGGAGCGAGCCCAGTTGGGGAGGGAAGGAAGACGGAGAGGATACAGGAGTAGGGTGGGGTAGGGTAGGGCAGAGATAGAGAGAGGGGGCGGGGGGCGGCCGTAGGGGGGGAGGAGGGTGCAGGGGGTGGGGTAGGGATGAAAGGGAGGGCGGAAAGGAGAGGTATAGAGAAAAAAAAATTTAACAGAAAAGAAACGTAAAACAAAAGAAACGTAGAGAAAAAGATATAGGGCCCCGGCCAGCAATAACCTCCCCCACCGAACGCCAACGAGCAAATGATGCAGCCGGGGCCTCCCCGCTCCTTAAATCCCCCTAGGCCCCGCCCCGCGCAGCCGCACTGGGGTCCCTCACACCCGTGCGGGCCCCGCCCCTCGCACCTGTGTCGGCCCCGCCCCCGGGGCCCCGCCTCCCCCCCGCCCATAAATCCCGGCGGATCCGCGCCTGTCCCGCTTTCGGCGGGGGATGCTCCGCTCGGTATGCGGCGGGAGCGTCGGTCGGAGCGCTGTGCGGAGATCCGGATCAGGGACTGGTGCTGCGCGGGGTCCAAGGCGCTCGGATAGGACCGGGAGTCCGGGTCCTGACCCTGCCGGTGTTTCCTGTGGGAGCCGGGCCGAGCCGCTTCTTCCTCGGTGGGCAGGGTGTGGGTGCTGGGGCCGGAGGATCGAGGTGGGATTGGGGCCGGATCGGGACCGGCATCGCCGCGGGCATGAAGAGCCGCTCCGGGACAGGCGCTGCCGCTCCAGCTGCGGCCGGTGCAGGGCTGGGTCCCGCCGGGACTTCAGGCCTGCTCCGGCTGCGGCGGCAGGGAGCCGGTGCTGTGCCGCTGCCATGCCCGCCGGGAGGATGGCGCTTCCCGGGAGCAGCCTTTGGATCGCGGCTGGAAGTGGGAAGGACACGGAGACCGCCCGTACCGGCCCCGGGACCCCATCGGTATCGCCGCTCGCTCAGTACCGCCGCCACCACCCCCGGCCCGGTAACCCCGGGGGGACACCGAGCCCCCCCCCCCGGCCCGGTAACCCCAGGAGCCCCGCGCTCCCCTACGAGCCCCAGCGCCTGCAGCCCCTTCTCCGTGCCCGCACCCCGGGGGCTGCAGCGCCCCGGCCGGGAGCAGCTGTTCTGGGACGGCCGCTGGGGCCGAGGCGTTGCTGCTCCTGCTCCAATTGTGCCTGGGACTGGGAAACACGAGGGAAAAAACAGTGAAAACTCTTTGCTCTTTATTTCCAGAGCCATGAGGATCATTGAGTCAAATGCTGAGAACTGACTGGCTCAGCTGCACACTGAACACAGAATTTTGGTCCTCTCAGCACCCTGCTCCAAACACCTGGGCCAATCCCAGGGCTGTTCCAAAGGCCCTGTGTGGGATGGGAATGACTGCTGCCAGTAAGAGAACTCCTCTGCAAATGCAGCTCCTTCCCTTCTGCTAATGCTGCTTTACACACCAGCCCCTGCAATGGCCGTAGGGCACAACTGGCTGGCACTCAGCATGTCAGCACCAAACTCTTCCCCATGACCCTGATTTTTCTGCCCTTTCCAGGATTTACCTGGCAGCTGTAAACGTGCTCACACAATGTCCCTCGGCTTCCCCAGAAGAAGTGAACAAGACAAGTCCTGAGGGTGCCCTTGCTCTGTGGCCAAAGTGCCTCTGGAGAGTGGCAGGGGGCGTTTCCCGCACGTGAGCGCTGCCAGGCCAAAGCGACGGTGGCTGCTGAGGCCGGGGCTGTTTCTGGGCCCAGAGGCCTCGGTGTCTCCTGCTCGCTGCCAGCCATGCTCCCTGGTGTTCCCTCAGCGTGTCCCAACTGGCTGGGAGCGCAGGGCAGGAGGAGCCAGAAGCTCCTGAAGGCAAGCAGCCCCTCGTGTCTTTGGGATCTGCAGGGGAGGAGCTGTGCCTGCACTGTGGCTCCTCGGCCAGGGGCTGCTCTGAGCGGGCACGTGGAAATGCTCCAGCCCACACAGAGCACCAAGAGCCCAGAAGGACCCCAAGGAGCAGCTGGCATTACCTGCGAATGGAGGCACAGGCTGTTTGCACAGGGGCTCACACAGCAATTCCCGGTTCAGAGCTCCCACACAGCTACAGGTATGTCCCAGCCACCCCAAATCCCTTCCCTCCCCTCCCCAGCCTGAGGCCATCATCCATCAGCAGCATTAAAGACAAGGCAATCTTCCCCCACAGGTATTAAATCCCAGACAGTAGCCCTCAGAGATACCTGAAAATCAGTGGGATGGAGTTTGGAGTTTTTCAGGGATCCAGCTGCAAGTGCACAAGTGAAGGAAAGCTTTCACAGGTAGGTCCCACTGGAGGTGTGCTGCAGACAGAGCTGTGCATCCCCTTCCTGAGGGAAAAGAATTTGGAGAGGCCACTGCTGAGGCTCTGAAAGGAGCTGAGCTCCTGCAGGGAGAGATGTCCCCCCCCCGGGCACAGGGGCTGCCCCAGCACAGGCTGGGAGCACATCTGGCCACTGCCTTCTCCTGCTTTAAACATCAACTGGATGTTCTCCACTCTGGAGCTCAGGGGGGTGAAATCAGCTCAATTCCAGGCAGCTCTATCCAGTGACCCCAGGGACACCATTGGGGTGAGGGTCCAAATGCCAGTTCTATGGAATATAACCCTGTCCTTGTCCCTGTGCTGCTGAGCTTCGTTTTAAGGAAGCTCTGCTGGCTCCTGGCACAGCTGCTGTCCAAGGCAGCAGCTCTGCATGGCAATGCCCACACTCCATGGGGCACTGGGAGGTTACTGCAGTGGGAATGGAGCAGGGAATTTGGGGCTCTGAGAATAATTCATCAGAACTAGCACAGCTGACATCGAACCCCAAATCTGGGCCCTGCACAGAGAACAATCTTTGTCCTGCCCTGTCAGTTCAAACCCCTGGGCTGGGAAGTTTTGGGAATTAAATGTGTGCAATTACACAAATCACAGCAAGTGGCATCACCCAGAGGGACAATCCAGGTCCCAGACAATTCCTCCACAATCCACTATGGGGGAAAACACCCTGTGCCTGCCAGGAGCTCTGACTCTGCTTTTCCTACCAGCTCCTGAGCAGTGTCAGGGCCACCATGAGAGCTTTAAAATCCAAATAAACCCCAAATCCCACCCAGTGAATAATCCAAATAAAGAAATGCATTCTTGTCACCAAAGCTCAAAACTGTGTTGGGAGTTCTGACAACAAGTTAATGGGATTCCCAGGAATCTCATGAATGCTCTTGGTTTCATTTTTATGTATTTTTAATCCCTCAGTGGGCAGCCTGTACAACTTATCCTGGGATTTAGAGGTTGAGCAGGGCTGGCTTTGGATTGACCTTCACCTCTGGCCCCAGCCTGTGCAAACACACCTTGTGCCAGGGTGGGTGAGCTCATCACCTCAGCTTTTCCCTCCTAAATATCCCCTGCTTATTTCCCTGTAGATAAACTCAGACTTTGCCCCAAACCATCCACTCCTCACCTCCATGTGGCCTCCAAGTGCCCATTCTGTTCCTCACAGGTGCCCTGGTGACACCATGTTGGTCCCTTTGCCTTTCTCCAGCCCGAGGCCGCTCCTCTGCTCGCTCTCTCCAGTCTCATCCCACAGGGATCCTCTTCTCCCTTCCCTGCTGGCTGCTGCCAAGGAAGGAGCACACAGTGAGTCTCAGGGCTGCCCCCTCAGCCCTGGAGAGTCCTGGCTGTGGGCCCTTGGATTTCCCAGGGGAATTGTCTGCTGCTCTCCCTTCAATGACCTCAGCAATTCCCTCACAAATGCCACCTCACTGCCCCTGACATCCCCTCACATTGCATTTTCCCACACAAACAGTTCTTGTATCCCCTCTAGATGATACCAGGTTTGCAGCTACATGAATGGCATCATCTGTGCCCACTGCTCGTTACTCACCCAACCAAAATCAAGAGCAAATGTTGGTTGGGCTTTAATAACAACTTGAAATAACTTTAAAGCAAAACAAGTCACCTTTTTCTTCTGTGTTTCTGGACTTACCTCTGAGGATGTGTGCTGAGCTCTGGGTGGAGGGGCCTGTCAGGCTGAATGGCTGAGTTTGTGTTCTTCTCACTGGGGCACCAGAAATCCCCCAGTCCCTTTTCCCAGGCTGTGCTCAGGCTGTGGCAGCACAGGCAGATGCAGCTCCCAGCACTCCCTGCTCCAAACACAACTCTGGCCTCCATTGCAATCTGTCTCTGCTGGGAGGTTTTCTCCTAGAGAAATCAAAGAATTGCTCATGGCAATTGGGAGAACGAATTTCCACAAAGGGAAGTAAGGAATAAAATCCTGCTCTAGGAGCCCTTGGGATCTGCAGGGCTGCTTAGGGAAGGGGACAGTCACTCCCTGCAGTGCCCCCAGCCCCACCTGCAGCACCAGCACAGGCTGCCAGCTGGGCTCTGCCAGCCCCTCCCTGTCACCCTCCCTGTGCTGCTCCCTCTCAGTGCCCTGGGCAATCCAGCCCTGAGCCTGAGCAGCCCAAAGCTCTGGCTGGCAGCCCAGGGACAAAGGGACACTGCCAGGGATGAGGCACATTCCCAGCAAACGCTCCCAACAGAGCACAGAGGCACCCCTGGAGCTCCTGTGGGGGCTGGCAGGAGGGCACAGCCCCAGTGGGGTGGCAGTGACAGCAGCAAACTGCCACCGTCTGGTGGCACAGCAGAGACACCAAGGGCAGCAGTGCCCATGGGAGTGGCACAATTAATGCTGCTCCCTGTGCTGCCCCATGCCAGCAGAAAGCTCCAGGGGGATGGAAACTCCTCCCCTTCCCCCAGCCCCAGGTAAGCACTGCTCAGTTTCACACACCCAGTTCTCACCTCCAGCTGCTCTGGGGCTGCTGCCACATCCCTGCCAAGGTGCCAAAGCCACTTGGGACAGGGCTCCCTCTGTGTCCCAGGGCTTGGGGATGGCAGGGACCAGGGTGCTCCAGCAAGGACAGCCTGAAACCAGAGCAGATGTCTCAGGGTCAGCAACAGGCTGGGGACAGGAGTTCTAAACCCAGATTGCTGAAAACAGCCCCCAAAATGTTCTATGATCACACCTTTAAAATGGCTCCAAAGGGCAGCAGCTCTGGTCAGTACCTGCACGATTCCCTGTGCCAGCCCTGGCTCACTGAAAAACAAAACAAATCAACCGTCACACAGGCCCTGTTTGCAGAATTCCTGATCCAAACCCTCACCTTTCCTGCCCAGCACTGAGGGGAATCTGACACAGCATTAATAAGTAACCTTTGCTGAGAGCAGCCAGCATCCCAGTCCTCCAGCCTTGGCAAGATCTGCAGTGAATGGACCTAAGTTCTAATCCTGAACCTAAATTTCTGTCAGTTTTTGTTAGAAAGATACTGGACAGTAAATCATGCAACAGAATTTAAAAGTTGCACAAAGAATAACAAGGCCCAGAGCAAACCCAACCACTCCCATCACTGCTTCACCCCAATTTTGGGAGAAATATTGATATCATTTCTAAATACTCCCCTTCCCTCCCACTCAGTCCTTCACTGCACATCCCTGGAGAGGACTGACTCCATCTTTTGTTCCCAAGAGCCCCTCTCCAGCCCAAAGCCCACTTCTCACAGACACAAACTGAGCAAGCCTGAGGCATTGTTCCCAGCAGCAGATGCAATTGCTGAACTCCCTTTTCCCTGGATTTCTCTTCTAAGCACTTGCAGGAAACTCACCTGAGCCCAGAGACTGTTCTGCTTTCCCAGAGGGAAACAGAGCCTGATGGGCCACAGCTCTGGCCACATTGCCCTTGTTCCTGCTGACCTGGGAGGCCACAGGTGAGCCCAGTCCCTCAGAGCCCATCCCTGGGCACCAGGAGAGCTGGAGCTGCTCCCAGATCCCAGTGCCCTGCAGGGCTGTGCTGACAGAGCACAGGCTGAGCACTGTGCCCACACCATCCCTCACTCTCCTCCCATTGCTGCCAAACCCTCCCAGCCCTGCCCCTGCATCCGTGCCAGGGCCAGTGCCTGCCCCAGCCCCAGCAGGGGCTGTCACCCAGCCCTGCCCAGCCCCAGCAGGGGCTGTCACCCAGCCCTGCCCCAGCTGCCACCCCTGGCATGGCTGGGAATGCACTGAGAGCTCCTGAAGCCCAGAGCAGTCCTGGGGGCACAGACAATGCCCAAGCTGCCCCTCAGGGCACAGCCAACACCACAGCTCCATCATCCCCAGGGAACTCTGGCATTTGTCCCTTCACCTCTGCCCTTGTCCAGCAGACACAGCTGGGGCTGGGCTGGCACAAATGGCATTGCCATGGCAGGTAATGCCAGCAGAGAGGAAAAGAGGAGCCCTGTGTCCCTCTGACTTACCCCACAGCGTGGGCAGGAGCAGAGCCCTCCAGGACAGAGCCCTGGTGCTGAGGCCTCTTGCCTTTGGCTGCCTAAACACCAAAGCTTCTGGCAAAGATGGGAGGAGTTGGATGATTTTTCCTGCCCTCAAAGAGAGGAGAAAAGAAAATTAAGTCCACTGTGGAAGTCAAAGGATCCCAGCTCTCATACTTCTGCTCTGATTGCTCCCTATGGGGTTTTATCCATGAGAGGTGGCACCAATTCAAACACAAACGTGTCCTTTGCCAGCATTTTTATTCCTGACTATTTCAGACAATAACAGGATGCTCATTTTTCATATTGCATTCTTTGCCCAATTTCACAGAACCATTTTTATCCCAGACCCCACATGTCAGTCATTCAATCCTTTACCACTGGACTTTGCACAAAGGAAGGGACACTCAGGATGCTGCATCACAAGAAATCCCAAAGAGAATCCCCTCCAAAGCCTCACAGGGAAAGGATTTTTGCTTTTGGGACACAAGAAAGGCCTTTGACCATTTGCATCCACGTGGAAAGCCCACACTGAGCACTTGGCTTTAAAGACTTTGCACTTGAAGTTACAGACATGGAATTGCTTTGGGATTTGGCATTTCCTGCACCCACACAAACACATTAAAGGAATTAAGTGCAGAGTCCCAAAGTTTGGTTATTCCAATGCTGCTTTGGTAGTGCCACTTGACACACCAAAATCCACAGCAACACTTCAAAAAATGAAAAGCAACTTTCACCCCCACATCCCCCTTCCTTTTGATTTTGCAGTTTTGGGGTCCTCTTAAGAACAGGTTAAAGGAAAGAAGAGAAAAGCCCAGGACCTACTACCAGCCAGTGCACCAAGCACCTGTTTTCCACAGATTCTCCTTACAGCTGATGGCTTTTCTAGGAAAGCTTCAGTTCCCCTTATCACAATGACCTGGCAGCACTCACTGCCGGCCCCAAAGGGCAGAGCCCATCTCTGAGCTGTGCCAGGGAGCTCAGTCCCTCTCTGTGGGACAGAACCTGCTCTGGGCCCCAGAGCTGACTCCAATCCCTGCTGGCTGAACTGTCCAGCTGTAGGATACAGCTGGATGCTGAGGGGCAGAGTGTGTGACCCTGTGTGAAAGCCAGGCTCCAAAGGCAGCCCTTGGTGCCCAGCACTGCTGCTGGCAGCGCTGGCAGCCCTGGCACAGATGGGATGGGGCCTCCCCACAGCTCTGTGCCCTGGCACCGAGGGTGGCACAGCAGAGAGGCTGATGGAAGTGAAACCAGCGCTGCATTTCCATGGGCACTGATGGCACTGAGAGCCCAGCCCAGAGCTGCTCCTGCCCAGCACGGGAGCCCCAAGTGCTGCTGCAGGCACAGGCTCTGAGGGAGCCCTGCAGCTGTGACAGTCAGGCAGCAACAACAATTCCCAGGCACAGAGAGATCCATCCCCACCTGCTCCAACAACTGAACCTCTGTGGCTCAGCCCCAGGGCTGTCCCTGCTCCAGGCAGGAGGAGCCACACAGCCCCGAGGCTGGGGCACACCCTGCCCTGCAGCAGGAAACAAGGGGTTAATGAAGCTCTGGGGACACGTCCTGTCCCCAGAGGGGTTTGACAAAACATCCAGCAGTGTGGATCTTTAATAAGGACAGCTTGTACCTATCCTTGCAACAGACTCACCTATGTTATTTCCTCAAAGTCCCTGTTTTAAAATATTTTGCTATTCCAAGTGTGTAAACAAGATTGACCACGAGCTCTGCACCCTGGCCATGCTCCAAGGCCTAAGGAAGAGCTGGACATCCTCACACTCATCCAATCTGAGGCGCTGCTGCAGCATTAAAACATTTAAAAGCCACCCCTGCCCCGAGGGTGTCCAGCCCTGGGAGGTGCCCGGGTGCCAGCCCAGCGCTAGAGATGGGACAGCAGGAGAGCAGCAGCAACAGCCACTGCAGCCTCGGCACTCTCAGCACTCCGGCTGCACGTCCTCACTGCCCAGCCACTCCCAGCTCTGTTCCCAGGACTCCCAGCAGGAACCTGAGGGCCCTTTCCAGATGCAAATCCCCAAAGAGCCACTGCTCCCCCCTCTGCCCACCCTCCTGCCCCAACTCTGACCCCTTTGATCGCCACCACCCCACCCGGGACACAGAGGAGGCTCTCGGGTGCCAGCTGAGACCCAAATCGTTCCAGTGCCCCAGGAAATAAATACAAAGAAACTCGTCCCTTCTAGGGTAACAAAATGTCTCGGTGCCCAGTTCCTGTTTCCTAAGGCAAAACACACGGAGCGGGGGAAATGCCAAGTCCCAAACCCAATAAAACCTGGTTTGCCATCGGTTTCCATCAGGACTGCTCAGGGTTCCCAGTGCCCCTCAGCTGCAGCCACAGGAGCAGCTTCTCTCTGGGACCCAGGGGTGGACACAGGGACCCCCATCCCGCTGCCTCCCGGGACACAGAGCCCAGCCCAGCCCAGAATGAAACATAACAAATGCAGTTATTGCCTCTGCCATTCGTGTATTAGCTCTGGCACAGTGGTATTGCCCACAAAACTCCTGAGAGAGCACAATCTGTAACTACTGCTCTTGATAAAGTATCATCTGTCAGTTCATGTATGCACTGCAGAGCTTTAATAAATAGCAGTGCAAGAGATACTATTTTAGACTGTAGCATAATAGAGACTGTGAAATGGCAAAATGATTTTACATGTAAGGAACTCAGAACATGGTGTAAGATAATTAGGTGATTTCCCACATTTGGGGACAATCTTATCTGAAACACAAGATAACAGAAACAGAAACCAGAGCACCGAGAAAAAAGGCAAAAATTATTGACCCTCGTTATCAAATACCGAGGGAGTGAAAATAAAACAGGATGGCACCACAGGAAGAAATAAAGTATATTGGTTTAATCCACAAGATGGCACGAAGGTTAAAACCAAGCAAAAGAACACCTAAACTCCAAGGACTGTTTGAATATGTACAAACTCGAATGAATATGCATACACCACTGCAGTGGAACAGAATCTAGAGAACACGGTTAAAGGTAACCGGCTGCTCCTGGCAAACAGCCCAGCCTCCCGGCGCTGGCTTTTATCCCTTAACAAACGTGTAAAACTTCTAAGGAGTGAACTTTGTTTCTCACACAACAAAGCACTGCCCCCGCAGCTGGGACGACCCGCAGCTTTATTCCACGGAACGCGATCCCAGAGAGCCGCAAGGCCCGGGACAGCCCCGTCCCACCCACGGCGGGTCCCCCGCAGCAGCAGCGCCCAAAGCAGCCCCGGCCCGCTGTGGGTGCCCCCGTCCCGCTGTGGGTGCCCCGTCCCTCTGTGGGTGCCCCCGTCCCGCTGTGGGTGCCCCCGTCCCGCTGTGGCTGCCCCGTCCCTCTGTGGGTGCCCCCGGCCCCGCTCCCTCCGCTCCGGCCGCTCACCTGAGGGCACCGCCCGCCGCCTCCCGGCGCCGCTGCCGAGCCAAGGCCATTGGCCCCGCTCCTGGCTCCGAGGCCGCGTTCTGCGCTGCAGGGCGCGCTCCGGGGGACGCGGGCCCGGGCAGGGCCAGGGTGACCCGGGCTGAGGCGGCTGTGCCAGCGCTCTGTCCCCTCATGGGGCTCAGGCCGGGCAGCGGAGCCCTGCCACCGGCCGCCATTGCGCCGCGGAGCAGAGTCAGGGACGGCCGAAGAACCGAGTGCGGCCGAGTGGAGCCGAGAACAGCCGAGTGTGGCCGAGAACAGCCGAGCGTAACCGAAGCGGCGACTCTGGCCGGGATTTGCCGAATCGATCCGAGTTTAGCCGAGGTGAGCTGAACGGAACGGGACGGAACCGCGTTCAGCCGAACCGAACTAGATAAGCCGAACCGAACTAGATAAGCCGAACCAACCTGAACATTACGGGGTCGTTCACTCACCCATCTCTCAGTGTGGGCAGGCACCCTCAGCTCCAAGGAGCTGCGCAGAGCGAGCGCTTGGACCCTTGGGAAGCACGGAGTGATCAGCCCCAGTGACAGGAAAGTATAGACAAATGCCATGGTCAGCCCTGAGGATTCAGGAGGATTCAGAGCCAGTGGCCTAGAACCTGCCACAATTACATCCACAATTGCAATGCAATTATGGTGTGACAGTGCAAGGCTGGAGTTCAGAGCTCAGCCATTCCACCGGGGCTTGGGACATTACTGAGAGGGTTTTGTGTCAGTCTGATGGGTCTGAGCAGCATCAAGAACCTAAAGGAAATTTTACAGAAATGTTTTGAGACGGATTGCCCCAAAAACTGGGGGACAAAAGATTAAAAAAGATTTCTGTTGAATTCCTGTCAGAAAGTCCAGACCCACTGGTTCAGCTATGGAAGGGATGGGTATGATGCACCACAGAAAGAGACAAAACTAGAAAGGTAAAAAGTCTATCTCCCATCCTTCCCCAAACACGCTCCAAGGAAAAAGTTTCAGACAATGAAATAACAAAGAACTGGCTCCTACCTCTGGAGTTCAGTCCTACATTTTGTCCAAGTGCTGAGCGGGATCAGTGGCAGGGCTGTGCAGTCCTCATCAGTGGAGACTCGCCCTTAAAAGCTGCCACACATCAGGTGGCACCAGGCACATCTGCAGGAGCAAGGTCTGGCACAGAGCTGGTCTGGAAAAGGAATCACCCTGAGCACAGGAGACAGGAGCTGCCTGAGCAGTCCTGCCATGCCTGGGCTCCTGCCTCTGTGGGCACATCCATGGCCTCGTGCTGTGGAGGACTTGGATGGGTCAGACACTGGCTTAAATGGAGTCATGTGCTTATCCAGATGTGGGACTGCATCTACATCCCTGGAATAAAAGCATTGGCATATAAATTCTGTTTTGTAGGAGGGTAACTACATACTGAAGTCATACAAACACGTAAAACTTACACTGTTCACAGAAAAAAAAGGAAGCACTGCCATTACTGTCAGTAATACAGAACACGAGAATATGCACCTCACCTGTCAACATCTAAAGGTCAGAGCATTTCCATCCTGGAAGTGCTTCCCAGATGGATCCTCTGAAGATTTATAGAAGCATGCTGAAGTAAAATACAAGATAAACATATTTGGGGTGAGAGGACAAAAGAAGGAACTAAGACAATTATTCCAGCTGAGCCCCATCTAGTGTCAGTTCTGGGTCTTAGGTAGATCTGGAGGAGCCCCATTTCTGCTGCAATCCTCTTTCTGCACGGCCTGATGTGGTGTTCTGTGGCTGCCTGGAAACTCTGCTCCTTCTGGGCTTTGACTGAAACACTGCACAGTGTGCAAGGCAGCAGAGACTCATCTCCAGACTCCTGAGTTATTCCTGTTCTGCTGGAAGCTGTCATTGCTCTGACAGCCAGGTCCTACCTGCTCTACGCTCACAGCTTTTCAGTTTCCCTTCTTAGGGACACTTAGAGCAGAGCAATGCTCTTTTCTTTTTCCTGGCTTGTGGTCTTTGTTGATTTGTGAAAACATCTCTCAGGATAGTTGATAACTTCTGGCTTTGTATTGCAGGCACAGTTTTTCTCCTGGTATCAGCTCCTTCATAGCCTGAAAGATTAACTTGTTTTCCCTCACTTGCTAACTTCATGGAGGTTGCCTTCGTGCTACTCAATTAGATTGCATTTTTGCCATGTTGGATAGACAGGAATAGAAAGGAAAGAAAGCAGAAAGAGCCCCAAGCCTGCCACTATTTCCCAGTTTTGGAACTTCACATTGCAACAAAATCAATTCCCATAACTCCATCATGGCAACACCAAAAATCGGAGGTTCATCTAAGCTCCACTGAATGAGAATTAGAAAGAGGGAGTTTAATTTTAATGAAATTTTAGGACTGAGACATAGGCTGAACTTACATGAATCTGGTTGTTTTCAAGTTCCCTGATGCATGCGCCTTGACTTTTCATGTGACACGAAAAGCTGTCATTGATCTTTACTTCTTTATTTTGCCCTTCAGCCAATTAGGTACTATGAGCTCCAAATTCCAGAACTGCAGCTTTTTGCCTTAATTTAGGGTCAACAAAATTATGCTGCAGCCTCTGACAGTTTACTAGAGGTTACTACATGAAATTAATGACACAAGTGCACAGGCAGAGTGAGATAAAGGCGAATCAAGACATTTCATCTACAACCTCTCCCCCTTTACAAATCATCTTGGAAGAATGCAAATCACCCTGCACTACAGCTCACTTGTCTCTCAGTTTCTGCCCCATTAAACAGCATTGTGTCCCTTGAAGTCTCTTCCAGTTTCTTACACTTTTCTCCCTCCCTTTCCTTCCTTTCCTTCCCTTCCTTCCTTCCTTCCTTCCTTCCTTCCTTCCTTCCTTCCTTCCTTCCTTCCTTCCTTCCTTCCTTCCTTCCTTCCTTCCTTCCCCCTGTGTCTGCTAGAACACCACTCTTCCTGCTCCATCACTCTCCTCCATCACTCTCCCTGATAGACCCCTGCCTGCAGCTCTGGCAGAGCTCTGCTTTTTGTTGCAGCTCCTGTGATCTGTTTTGGTGCCCAGGGTGTCAGCTTGTTCCTGACAGGACAGATCTGATGGAAGTGAAGATCTCTGCTCCCCAAATTCCTCATGTAAACAACTCAAACTCTGCCTGTGGAAGGACTGGGAGTCAGACCTTCCTCTCCTTTTTCCTTCACTGTGCAAGTAGGAATGTGGGTGCTGACTCCCAGAGATGGGGACAGAGTGACAGGTTTATATCAGAGCAAAGAGAAGTAAGGTGGGAGGAGGAGACTTTTCCTGTCTGACCGTGGCTGGACCCTGTGAGAGTGCTTGCTATCAAAACATTTCCATCTCCGATGAGTCTGAAAATATTCAGCCCAGAAAAGTGGCTGTGATTTACCTCTAAATGAGGCAAAATATTTTAAATACAGGGCAAAAGCCTGTCTGCTCTTTTTATTGCGTAGAAAAAAGCAGCGTAAACAGATAAAATGCTCAGGCAGCAGATGAGAGCAGACAGAGCCAATGAAAAGGGAAATAAAGAAGGTGTTTTACTGTGCTCTGTGGATGGGTGAAGGGTGTCTCTGGGATCTCTCCCCACCTCCCTGTGCCCAGGCTGGTGCCCAGCAGCCCTGTCTGTAATTGCTGCCTCGTGCTTGCTGAGCAGCTCCAGACAGAGCAACGGGGCAATGGCCTCTGGAAAAGCTCTGCAGTGGCCGAGTCAAGCCCGGCACTGAGCTCTCTGACAGGGCTGTAACCACTGCAGAAAGAATCACAGCACGTTACGGCTGATCCCAGGACATGCAGCACACCCTCCATAAAATCAGCCAGGTGCCAGCCCCTTGTGAGTGCAGGCAGATGAATGGCACAGGAAAAGGTCACAGGGATTATGCAGAGTAAGAGATTTTCTGGGCCCAGGATCATCAGATGTTTCAGACTCAGCCCCTGTACAACACATGGGCAGTGACCCCACCCTGTGGCCCTGGAGTCCCTCAGAAATGGGCAATCAGACACTGCCTTTAGAGTGGTGTTTTGGGGATAAAATGGGCATTGTTACCTCATGCTGAATCAATTCAGAAAGTTTTGAAGATCCCTTTGTCTGTCTTGAGACAGTGAAATACTCCAGGGAATATGCAGGAATGACTTGAGGTGTGTAGGCCTTACTGAAAAGGAAGAGCCCTGGGAACCAGGAATGCTGATTGCTAAAAGGAGCACCAGGACTCACTGCAGAATTGATTTGTCCTTCCTGAGATCAGTCTTCAAGTGGTGACCCATCATCCTTGGGAGGACATCCTGCCCAAAGAGATGGAAAAGGAAAAGGGATTTTTCTGAATGGCTACTCTAAGTTTTAACAAAAGCATGATCATATAAAAGGAGAAATACCAAGAGAGAAGGGAACGTTCTGGGGGGAAAAGGAGAAGAGATTGAGCATTCCAGGCCAGACACTGTCAGAACAGACTTGGCCACCAAGTTCCGCTGCAAATGCAGCAGTTGAATTTGCTGGATAAAATCTACTGTGCAGGAAAAATCTCTTCCCACAGACTTCTGACAGAGTTTGTGTTTTGCTAAGGACAAACCCCCAGAGCGTGCAATATGCACTGCACGTACATTATATGTGGATTTTGTAAACCTATTTCAGACCAACACGGAAGAGCAACAGCTTTGGAACCTGAAGCACCAAGAGAGAGCAATTTGCACAGCAGCCTGCTGCCCTGAGAGACTGCACAGCCTGGGCATGGCCCACTGCAGGTGCCCCCATGCTGCTGAATGTCACTGTGTGCTGGTTTGACTAGAACTAGGAAACAGGAATTCTGGGATGCTGTGGTCAAATTAATAGATGCTCAGGTTTTGATATTGGCACCTGATGTGGCTAGTGAAGTTTGGACACACCTCTGAGAACACACAGGGGTTAAGAACCAGAGCTGCAGCTCTGGGAGGCTTTCTTAGGACTTCTGTCGGGAAAGGCTTCGGATCTCTCTCTTTGTCTTAGCTGCTGGCTGGGCAGGGGGAGGGGATAAAGCCATGCGGCCATGAGGTAGGCTTAGCTCAAGGATGGAAGGGTGGAAGAGACCAAGAGACATCAGGCAGCCCTTCTTCAGGGAAGAGAGAGAGAGAGAGAGAGAGCCATAGCTGCGCTGGCCTAGGAGAAGAAGGCGGGGGAGTGCCCAGCAGGGCATCGTGGGAGTTTCGGAGCTCTGGGACAGGCAGAGACTGAAATTTTTAACCCTTTTCTTGCATGATT